TTGTTGTTCTTGTGGTGTGACAAATTGTTTTCGGCTGGCGCATTTCGACTTTTGACCCACTTGGAACTTGGCGACTTCCTGGGCAACCGAACCAATTCCTGCGACGCAGTTATCGCTCCTTGCCTTGCACCTCACTTAGCCGCGCTGCGTCAGCAAAGGAAGCTGAGGCAGCAGAAGCAGCAACAGCAGCTGTAGTCATCAATGACAGGGCGTACACTGAGAGAAACAGGATTTAATGGGAACTAAACTAACTTGAAATGAGGCAGGCGGCTTTTTGATAAGGCTTAACAGCCGAGTCAATCTAGTAGTCTCTATGCCTCTACATATTCTCATATTGATTTTGGAACCTACGCTCTGATATTATTATTATATATTATTTATCGAATTTTGGAAAATCGATAAGTATTTATTATTAAAGAGTCGATATTATTTATTCTTTGATCGTATATGGTGTTCAAGGAACTAAAACTTACAAATTCTATATACTGTGTCAGTATACTCAAATAAATAATACTCTTCTTCTACTTTTATGTACATCTCTTCGATTAAAAACCACATTAAAATTGTCTTCGATAATTTAAATATATAGTATATTAAATACTATATTATGCTAACGTAGTTGTTCCACAAGGCCTACAATTATGTATGCAACAATTGTATAAAGATAAGTTTCAATATAGCACTCTCAAATTTTTATTTTTAATTTTTGGCATTGTCTGCTTTGTATTTTGACTTAAAACTTCCGTAATTTCCATAAAAACTCTTAAGAACTCATCTCAAAACGTTTCCCAACTTGCTTTCCCATAAGAATTTGCAGTTCAGTTCTGCAAATTGTTGACCTTCACCTTGATGAACTCGCACAATTTGGTGCCCACATTTTCGCTCAGTGTAGCTGGAGTGTGGCTGGAGACTGTAAGACTGTGGCGACCGCCATCATCGCTTGGCATCTTGGCAAAGCGCGTCGCCTTCGAGTCTGACCCAGTTTCAGGCTTTTGGCAGACAAATTGTCTGCGCCTTACGGATTGTTTATGATGCTTTTGAACTTTGGTGTTTAAAGCGCGCGAGGAAAAAATACAGCTACAATCGCTAAGGCAACGTCATCATCGTCATGCATGTAAGGTGGAAAGTGCCATGTGATAAACTAGAAAAATTCAATTATCTTTGATTTTGGGCGTAAAGTGGAGCCAGAAAAACAGCTAAAGGTTTGTGTGTTGTTTGTCTGCAAATTAGTTTTCCAGCTATTTGGCCACATTTGCCACACATCAATGACTTTTATTGCACTCTTTACGAGGGGAAGGGGCGTATTCACCCTCTGTCACTAGCTCTCCCTGTCTCCCTCTCTCTCTTAGTCGCCCTCTGTGTAAGGTCAACTCTCACTTGGCCCAGCAACGTCTTATTACAAGCCACACACACACACATGCAAAACTAGTCGGGCTCAATGTAATTATGACAGCAAGAAGCACTCAGATTCGACATCATTTGTCCAGCGGCTCACAGCGGGCGAGTTGAAGTGGTTAACCACACAATGTTGCCCCTGTCAACAGGCCGTGGAGTCGAAATGCTGCTGCAACTGCATTGGCAACGGTACCGGCCAGGGCAACTAATCCCAACTAAAAAAAAAAAAAAATTGAAGAGAAGAAAAGAAAAACCACAGAAACGAAGCAAAATAGCAGCCACACATAAAACTGTCAAAAAATTGCCAAGTGCCTGTGCGTATGCAATGCACAGTGCGTGCTAAAAGTCAATAAACTGCGAGAAAAATGAAAGGCTTTAAATATATGAAAAAGAAAATACTAAAAAATACTAAATAAATTAATTTATAACCTCTCAACAAAACCAAAATATTTAATAGATTGCATATTTAAAAAATACGAAATGAAAGATCTACAAAACATATATTCTACTTAGCTGTCAACCTATAGTTATGTAGATAAAATGACGATCTAAAATCAAATTATTTAAGCATATAAATTATTCGTATTAGTAATATCCCAAGCATGATAAAATACAGTAAATTTACATATATTGCCAAATTGTATACATGAATATATACTTCCACTCTTCAAAGTACAATAAATTTTCAGTTTCGATTTGAATATCATATTTACAAAGTAATTTATTTGCACAACTCTTAAGATCTCTTAAAGTTTCCTTTATTTATGCAAAAATCTAATTTATTTGAAGCATGCTCAAATTTCAAGTAGTGTATGGGTGTGTGTGTGTGTGTGTTTGTGTGTGGCACACAGACTGGCAGTACGCACTGTAGTATATATTCTGTATGTTTCTGCATTTGTTGCTGTTCCTGCCAGACTTTTGCGGCTGCCACATGTCCACATAGCAATGCTGCAACAAGCCAGTTGCACAAATCAAGTCAAGAATAGAGGAATTGCATATATATGTGTGTGTGTGTGTTTGTGTGTAGCTGCCCAAAAGCAGAAATGACAGATATCTGCAAATATATATATGTATATCTGAATATGCATATGCATAATTCTATGTATGCGTGTGCCATTGACTTTGCAACTTTGTGGAGCAATGTGAGTGATGAGAGAGTGAGCGAGCGAGCGAGCGGGGCGGGACGAGTCGGGCATCGAAGGTGCAGACAGTTCTGTCAGTCGGCAAACAAAGGAGTTTGTCATCATACATATTTGCACTTCAGCATAAGTTGGGAGACTGTTTGGGCTGCCGCTGCCGCAGTTGCTGCCGCTGTTGCTGTTGCTGTTGCCACTCGTATTGGCGACACATAGCAACGCCACCGGAAGTGCAACTCAAACAGCAAAGTCCGGCATGCATTGGCAGCCCTTGGCTGCTGGAGCACACACAAAGACGAACAAACTTTTTTTCATTTGCTGCTGCTGCCACTCAAAGGCGACTCAATGGCAGGATCTTCGGCTCCTTCTCCAGCTGCAACTGCTGTTGCTGCCACTGCTGCCACTGCCACTGGTATCAGTGTTGCTGCGGCAACACTTTGATAGTGTTTGCATTCGGCAATCATATTTTCTTTTGTCTACAAAGTTTTTCGCTTTTATGGCAACAGCAAACCCTTATCGCATTAAGCGACTGCACAGCCAGCAAAAAATATGTATATATTCATAATTAGCTGAAAGTCATTCACTTAGTTTTGACAGCAGAAATTGCCAGAAAATCCTCCACATAAGCAGAGAATTGACTTTAAGCTAACAAAAATGTTAAAGTGAAGAACTTTTTGCCTACATTTAAAGAGAAGTAAATGCAAACTCGAATTCTAGCTAAACTCTATTTCATATAATTTTCGCTATCTTAAATACTCATTGAAAGCTCTTGAAGAAAGCCAATGAATTTTTTTTTTTTTTTAGTTCTAACGGGCACAACGTGTTTACCCACTTTATAGCTTAATCCAGTATAATCCTCTTTTATACAAGCTTAAGTATTTTGAGCACTATCCTCAGCAAAAAAACTTGAAAAAGGCAAAGCTTAACGTAAGCTAATTAAATTATTTGCATGTCACGTTTGGGTATTTTAAAGCATGAATTCGAATTAAATTTTAATTTAATAAAATGAATGCTTAAGCAAATTCAAATTCCTAATATAAAAGGCAAATTCTATTTAGTACTCTATTTATTAGCATTTATGTTATTTTGTATTTAACACTTTCTGCCCAACACTCAAAAAAGCATTCAGGCTTAACAAAAGTCCACGCAATTAAAATTATGTATTTAAAATTTGGTATTTTTTAGCGCTTCATGCCAAGCAGGCACTTGAATAGCGTAATTTGGCTGCTTAAAGCAACTTAACGATCAATATTGCTACTTAACGAAGCCTATCATTTACAAGTGTTGGTTAAGCCTTAAAGCTGCAGCTGTTTCGTTAGCTTTTGCCGCCTAATATTGCATCTCACGCTCATTTATTCGCTTTTATTGCGTTATATACGTATGTATTTATTTTTTTTTTTTCTGTGGTACGTGTGCGCCGGCTGATTGCCGGAATAGATAAAACGGCGCAGACGCTATAATTATGGCTGGCTAGCACTTTTTATTTCATTTTCACTCAATGAAGCGCAATAATTGCTGCGATTAATGCAAATTCTTCTAACGCTTCAAAGGCATAAAATTTGACTGCACAAAAGGCGGCACATGACCGTAGCACACGCCCATGTCTGCACGCCCCCCCACATAGTTGGGCGAGACAAACTGTTGTCAACCCTATAGCACGACTCTAGCCTAAGTCATCATGCCCTTCCTTGTTACCCCCTTGGCGTCAGTTAATGCTGGCAATGTGTATGCAAATGAGTTTCCAATGACTTGGTCCGAAAACAAAACAAGCGAGGATGATGTCTCTGCTGCACTTGAACTTGGCTACGTACTCGGTCTCCAACTGGGAGGGGCGCTAACCCAGTCGTTCGTTAGCCATTAGCTGTGTGTGTGTGTGTGTATGCGTCTCGGTTGCATGTGTCAAGAAGAAAGCGTTGCCTGTATTATAGCAAAGTTTGCACTTTTACTGCCAATCGTTGCAAGCGTGTGTGTGTGTGTGTCTGTGTGGTTGCATGTGTGTGGCATGTCCCTTGTGGCTTGTCCAACTTTAAACGCTCAACGCAATAAGATAAGCGCAGCAGAGCACAACACAGCAATTTTTGTTTAATGCATGCCCACTATTTCCCTCTCTTTTATCAGACTCTTAAAAAGCACTTCGCGTTGACACTAAAAGCCTTAGCAGTCGATACACCTTTCAAGTCGTTATTGGACTGCAGTCACAGTTTAACAAACTTTTTGCATACATTTTTACAGACACTTTTTTATGTAGGCCTATAATTTCGCACTATTTTAATGTTAACTTTTTATACGCAAAATTATTTGCCGCGCAAAACTTTGAATTTCAGCGCCAGTGCTAAAAGCTTTATTTCATTTTAGCCAGTCTGGCAACATACAAATATATTCGAACCAATTTACTTGCCGCGCAAATTTCAAAATTCATCGCTAGTCTGGCAGCACTTTAACACAGCGTTACCACTTAGTACTTGTTGCTTTGTATCAAGTTGGCAGCACGTCTATTTACGTAAACAAGAAGCAAACAAAACGCTTATAAAACAATTTTAAGGTTTTGCCAAAAACGCCCTTAAAACCAGCTGCAAATGTCCAAGCACACATTAATAGGTATGTTTAAAATATGCAGAGGCGTGGCTTTAGTTAATAACTGGCCATGCCGACAGGTGGCGGCACTGGATTCATCGGCAGTCATCTCTCGAAGCATTTGGCGAAAAATGGCTATGAAGTAACTGTAATTTCGCGGATGCCCGGTCCGAAGCGCATCACCTGGCACGAGCTGGAAAAACAGGGCATACCCAGCAGCGTCAACTCTGTGGTAAATGCCACAGGTCAGAATGTGCTGGACCCATCCAGACGCTGGACGCCGGGCTTTCAGCAAAATGTCTGGAATTCGCGTGTCAACTCGTCGAAGACGCTGAGTCAGGCGATTCAAGCAGCGCCGCAGGTGAAATCTTTCGTGAACTTATGTGGCGTTAGCCTCTATCCGCCATCGGAGACCAAGACGTACACTGAGGACGATCAGGGCGTGAATTACGACTACATGTCGAGCCTGTGCCTGGCCTGGGAGGAAGCAGCGCGCTCCGGTGACTCGAAGGATAAGTGTGTAGGTGTACACACGCATCTACAGTTACAATGTATCAATATCGATTTTCCAACACTGACACTTTAGAGCATCGTGCGCACTGGCGCTGTCGTCGGACGCAATGGCGGCATGATTAAATCCATTTGGCTGCCCTTCAAACTGGGTCTCGGTGGTCCCATGGGCGCCGGCAATCAGATAATGCCCTGGATACATATGCACGATCTGTGCGGCCTCATCCAGCATCTGATTGAGAAGTGTGAGTCGGGCGTCTTCAACGGCGTCGCACCGGAGATTGTTAGCAACAAGGGCTTCTCACAGGTGAACCATTTCGATTTGATGTGCTGACTCTCCAAATTGACCAATTCTTCCCTCCCTGCTTTAGGCATTTGCCAGCGCTCTGAATCGTCCATGCCTGTTCGCTGTGCCCGAGTTCGTGGTGCAGGCCATCTTTGGCAAGGAGCGTTCAGCGCTGCTCTTGAGTGGCGCCAAGATTCAGCCCAAGCGTACGCTCGCCTCTGGCTATCAATTCAAGTATCCGGATGTGAAGTCCGCCGTAGCCGAAGTCGTTGGCAAATAGAGAGCTGAAGCAGTTGGGAATTTGTTATGAATGCTTGAAATTGGCGTTGTTAAACTATTTATTATTTAAAACGATCTTCATTTGTATTATATCAATTAAACTAGAGCACATACGAGGTATATAAATTGTCTATATATATGTACATAGAGACATATTTGTTAATCATGTCTAGGCACTTGATGAGCATTGTGAAATTTTAGTCTATAATTCGCATAATTATGGAAATTAATTTGTTTACGTATTACTCATGGGCAACGATTATTATTATTAAATATTATTGCACCCATTAAAAATGGAAGTTGAGTCTAGGGTATATTAGTTCTGTAACAGTGTATGTAGGTGGCTGAAGAAGGCGTGGCATGCACTGTGTTACAGGCTATGTATGAAAGATCAGTAAAATGCTTTGATAAATAGCTTCTAGTCAGGAATTCCCCATAAGAACAAAGTTATTTGCATAAATTTCAAGTATATAACATGCTAAAGAGTTGCAAGGATTAAGAGCTAATGACCGAAAGAGATCCCAGAATTTGTTTACTTACATATGTAGTTTTGTTTACGTAAATGTTTAAGATAAATCGTTGAGTTGACAGCAGATGACTCCACACTTTTATTCCCACTTTATAAAGGTGGGGAGTTGCCTGCTGTTAACTCAATGATAATCTTGAACGTGTCCATAAACAAGAACAACAAAATTATAAAAATTCTGGAATCGATCTTTTGTTATTGTAATTATTTAAACTACACAAAAAGCTAAGCCGCCCACACTGAAATCCAAAAAATCTAAATAGAGGTAATCCGAAACTAAGAAAAAAGTACCGAAATCAAGCGATGTCGATTGAATTAATTAGGCAATCGAAATAATTGCATAGCAAAAAAGTTAATTCAGAATAAAATTGAAAAAAATCATTCATTTGCGCTTCACAATCAGCATGGAACGCCTATAAAACCCTCATGACATGTCATGTCTAGCTCATTCGTAGCTGGACCATTGGAAGTGCTAAATAATGTTATCTAAATCTCAGCAATTACTGCTCATCGTTGGGCTCACCTGTTGGGTAACTGAAACACGAACCTCCAAATGTTGAATGAATAATTTTAATGAATCAAATGCGAAACAGAGCGTGGCCCAAGCGGATGTCGACTGCAGCCAGAAACCGAAGTTCGTGAATCCCAATACCTGTTGCCCTCTGCCGGAGATCGCCACACCCGAGTTAAATGAGAAATGCAAGGAATACTTGCAAACTCCAGCAATGCAAATGGAGTCAAGCGCCGAGGGAAAACGTGGACATCGTCACCATTCGTTCCTTCCTCCAGTAAGCGGAGATTTCTGTAGAGATTTAAAATTTATGGATAGCTATACCTCTCTATCTCTCTCTCTCTCTCTCACTCTCTCTTTCTCTCTCTCTCTTAAATCAGTGCTACATCTCTTGCATCTTCAATGAGACGGGCATCTATAAGGACAACGATGTGGACATCGATGCGCTCAATGATTACCTAAAGAACATCTACAAGGACAACGCTGAGCTGGAGAGCATTGCCACTGAAGCAGCCGGCAAATGCAACGCCAAAATGGACGAGTTCAAGGATAAGATGAGCGACCGACCACGCCCATCGTCACCACCCGGCGCCATGAAGTGCCCCTACAAGCCCGTCTTCCTGGTTGGCTGCGTTCTGGGCAAGATCATGTTCAATTGTCCCGCCTCCATTTGGAGCGATACCCAGGAATGTAACGAGGCTCGTGATTACTTCAAGGCCTGCAAGCATCACAAGCGCGATCGATTTGGTGGGGATAACTAATTGGAGAGTCACCAAAGGAAAACCTCAATAGTTAATAAAAGCACTTACCCGATGAGCAGAAAAAAAGCGATAATAATATTCAAAATATCCTAAAATAATTGATGTAAAAAGAGTCCTATATAACCTCGCTGCGACCCGAATAAAATGTGAAGAAATTCATTAAAAAAAAAAAAACTAGAAGATACCCTGTAAAGCAATTTGAATAGGGAAAATAAATTTGTGAAACAGTCAGAAGAAGAGCTGAGTCAATATAGTTGTATTCCTCACTAGATCTCTACCTCACCTCATCCAGGGTCGAATAAGACCTAGATAAAATATTAGCTTCGACTTATTGCTGCAGTGCACTTCCATATTGGGCACGCTCTGTTTCACAATTACAATGAATATTTAATTTATTATTACTAAACTGATGTTCCATTTAGAGATTTTGCTATGCCAAACAGACTCAAATAATTGCTGAGATCTCGATAGAAATCTGTTTGCGCCTCCGCTGGCTTATTATATGTATATGTAATACATTATATAAAGTATATATAAGTAAATCTATTTTTGGGATCTCAACTATGCGCAGCTTTTTTTTAGCTTCTATATTTTAGAGAATTTTAGCTTACATTTACTATAATGTTTTTTTCAAGTTTAGGCTTGACTTGAAAACTCTAAAAATAAAGCTGAACAGGTTTTATCAAAGCATTTTAATATCCTTCAATTAGGTTTTCTGTTTTATTCCTAAATAATTCTAGTTTAATTTATATATCTATAAAATACTTTATTCAACTTGCTTTCCCATTTTGTTTCGCTGTAATTCCATTTGAAGCAAATGCATTTGGATCTGCCCGTAATTGGGTTTAGTCCTTGCACATTATCCTTTGCGCTGCTTATCAGCGTTTTGCACGCCTGAGCGCGCAATGAAATGGAAAATTCGATTTTCTGCAATTGAAAATGTTCTTATCAAACACTCAAGCAGTCAGCTAGTCGGCCAGGCAGGCAGTAAATCAGCCTGGGCAGCCAGCTAGCGCTTCCTGCAGTCTCATTTGGCCTCTGCTGCTGAAGCGAACAGGACGCGTCCATGGCGAGCATTGAGAGCGAGTTGGCGCAGTTTGTGGCGCAGTGCCGGAAGCAGGAATTCAGCGAGTCGGAAATGCGCAGCATATGCCAGCCAATCCTCTGGCATTGGCGACTACTGAAACTGAGAAAGTGGGTGCAGTGGCTCCTGCTGCCCGCAGTGCTGGTCTATCTGCTGTGGAGCTGCTGCGACAGCTGTGCCTGGACATTGAGCGCCCTGGGGCGCTTGCTCCTAATCGAGCTGCTGCCCTATTGGGACTGGACGCCCTACTACAATGCCAAGTGCCTGATCGAACGGGAGTCGGAGCGGAGCACTGACTGGCAGCCGAAGGCGCTGGGCAGACACGAAACTCTCTGGGAGAACTGTGCGCTGTGCGAGCAGCTGGGTATGAAGCCTCTGTGGGCACAGCTATATATATAGCTGACATCTTAAATCCATTTCAGAGAGCATTCCCGTCGTCTCTAATGCCAGCTACTCCCTGCTGGAAGCGGAGTATCTGGAGCGCGGTCTGCCAGTTATCGTGGGCGACTGCCAGCTCGAGCTGAGCTTGGACCAGTTGCTGCAGCGATTGCTGGAGAGGGCACCAGAGCTGCTCTCCAGCGAGCCCTGCGACGTCTCCAGCAATCTGATGCTGCGACAACTCTTCAATTTGGATGCTGCTCTGCAGAAGATTCCAACCAGCCCCGGCTGGCATCTGCACTTCCGCAACTGTGAGTCGCGGGCGGTGAAGGCTTCGCGTCTCTATGCCGACAAGCCCTACTACTACCCCGTGCATCTGGAGCCCTACTACTCCAGCTGGCTGCTGCTGGCGCATCGGCAGCAGCGCCCGCAAACGGAGATCTATGTGCGTGGCCTGATCTTCATACAACAGCTGAGTGGCCACTTCGACTGGCAGCTGCGCCCCAAGCAGCCCTGCCAGGAGTACAATTGCCCCAATCTGAGTCTGCGCTTGGCTGCGGGCGAGTGCCTGGTCTACTCCACGGATCTGTGGCGTCTCAGCTACGGAGTGCAGCAGCAGCCGAATGGTAGCGACACCTCCATTGCCACACTGTTCGAGGTGAATTGGCAGCTGTAGGAGAAGTTATGGAACATAAGAAATCATAGATCATCTATACATATATGTATATGAAATAACTCAGATAACTACGAACTGGAAGTGAGTTATTAAACGTCAAATAAGATGTGGTTCCATAATATACAGATATAGGAAATGCAGAAATATAAATCAGTTCTAGATAGCCAAAAGTTTCCTTTTTCATTCCACTCCTATCTAATAATACAAGAAATAATCCCACATTTCCCGAAAATAAATAATGGGATCCCTCAACCTCTATATATATTATTCTCCGCTATTCTCTCCACTATTCTATTCTCTATACTATTCTCTTTGTGCTAACTCAACGCTGTCATAAATAAGATATATATTAATTAGTTAATACTTATAGATATCCCATTCCAATAAAAAAGGAAACCAAGTCTGTCGAATTGTCCAAATTGTATTTACACAGAGATAAGAATTACACATCAACATCAAGTAGACAGGATATGCATTGGAACTTAGTTTAATACTGTTTTGTAGTGCTTCACTCAGTTCAGCCTTAGTGGCTCGACTCGACCCTCCCTCTAGGCCCTGCGGCACTTGGCCTCGACGAGCTTCTGCAGCGTGGCCGTTAGACTGTTGATGGCATCGATTTTCATGCGCTCGATGCGCTCCTGCTGGACCAAGGACATCTTCTGGATTTGCAGCTGTTCGCGCTGCAAGCTGCGCTGCAGCTCCATCTTCTCACGCTCCACGTCAAGCTTGCGCTCAAAGTAGTCCTTCCACCAGATGTCGTCCTGCTGAGCGGGCGGCGGCGGCAACTGTTCGTAGAGCTTGCCTGTGGGAGCCATTGCCATCTCCTGGCTATCCGTCTGGTCCGGAATGCTGGTGCTGCCCGTTTGGTCGGCATCGTACTCGAGCTTGGGCTGGCGCACCTCCGACAAGCTGTTGCTGTCCTCGTCGAACTCGTCATTCGATTTGCTGTCCAGCTGCAGCTGCACCTGCGGCTGCAACAGCACCTGATCCACGGGCGTTATATACGGCTGTCCATCCTGAGGCGTTGCTGGCTTCGACTGCTGTTGTTGCTGTTGTGGCTGCTGTTGCTGTTGCTGCAGCTGCTGCTGTTGCTGTTGCTGCTGTGCCTGCACCTGTTGCTGCTGCTGCTGCGTCGTCATTTGGACGGGCTGCAGCTGCACGTCGAAGTCGGCCTTCTTGCCCTGCAAGTACTTGAACATCTCCTCGAAGAACTCCCAGTGCACGTAGCCCGAGACGTACTTCTTGTTCAGATTCTTATTGTAGGTGATGAGGATGTTGTGCCACTTCTTTTGCACCTTGGCCGCGCTGTAGCGGAAGCCCAGCCGCTGCAGCTGCCGGGTGCAGTGCAGCCACAGCGCCGTCCGCTTCTGCCTGCCCTCCGTGAAGCTGCCCTCCATGGGTCCGCGGATGTGTATCAGGGCACGCGTCGCTTCCGTTGTCCAGGCGCGCTCGTATGGACCGCGTCCTATGCTATTCGCGCTGCCCGACAGCTCCGTCTCCTCCAGCAGGCAATCGTCGTCCAGGTCGTCCAGCTCATCATCGCTAATGGGATAGGCTAAGGATAAAGAAAAAGGAAAACAAACAATGCTTTAGCACCTGTTGCTGATGATGACGGCTCTCACGAGCTGCGCAGCCTCTCTCGCTCTCAGCTTGCGTCGCTCGCTCTCTCTCAGCTTGCCACCCACCAGCCACCACCCACCACCCACCAGCCGCAGCCGCAGCCACCCACATCCTAGTCAAACGCCCGAAGCTGCAAGGATGCTAGCGCTGCTGCTGCTGACGTACAAGCATAGCCAAAGCTGAAGGATACACATTTTCACAGTCTTCAATCAAAATCAAAATCACAACTAGCACTGTCACACACACACACACATGTACAGATTTATGTTCATTTAGTGCTTTAGTACTTACGCTCAGTCTCCTCAGCGCTGCCATTATTGTTCGCTGCACCATTCAATGCGATTTGTGCCATTTGTCGATGATATTCCTAATTAGTATTATAATTATTATTTTAGTTAGCTGCTAGTCTATATATTTGATAGCACTATTGCTGCTTTAATTAAAATTGATTTTCTGACAGCCTACTCGACTCTCGTCTCGTCTCGACTCAGCTCTACTCAGCTACTCAGCCTAGACCTGGCTGCTCTCAATAGTTTTCTGTTACTAACCGAAGGACATTTTGTGGGCTGCAGGCGGCTGCCAGGCGCTTAAGCTTCCACTCTCTCTCTCTGTCGCACGCTTGCACTCGCTCTCTGTCTCGCTCTCGCACACTGAGCATAAAGCTCTTTGGCTGCTGCCGCTCTCTGAACTCAGATCTGTGCGGGCTGCTGTGCGGCTAGGTCATAGTATTTGAAGTATCTAGAACGAATGCTGATTGACTGTACATATATATGCAGACATTTATGTGTATAGATATGTTTATATGACATTTAGCAGCTGCGCACTATTTCATTAATCTGATAATATAATAACTTAAACACACCTTAATCAATGTCTAGGCTAAAACTCAATACTACTATTATATAATAAATGAATCTCGACGTTTTGTAATATTTTTATTTGAAAATATATTTCAAAGAAAAAATCTAAAAATCAATTAAATATGGGTATCTGTAAAATATTTATAATTTTTGTACTATATTAATAATTTAAAACTAATTTTTATTATTATTATTAGTTTTTATTTTTACATCGTACAATCTATTAAGCTCATACATCTAATCTTAATGGTATTTATTATATAATATAAAATTATGTGTATTATATAGTTATATTTAAAATTTGAATCACATGAACATATATTTTGTCTTTTGTAACTCTAATTTAATACATTTTTATTTATATTGTAAAAAAAAAAAAAAATAGAGAGAAATCAATTAAGATAATCCTTTATTAAAAAATTTAAATTTTGAACAAATGTTCCTAAAATTTGACAATTCAAGGAAATTTTCTTGAGTCAGTTGGATCGGGTGGCTCATCGGTGTTAGGTTCTTCAAAGTCTGGTACAAATCTGTTGGATATATACGCATATAAATATATATATATGGAGATTTATTGGCATGTAGATAATATATATTCTAAAAGCTGCTTACTTTGGATATTTAGCCAGCAGATATTTTACAATAAAAGCAACACATTTTTGTACGCATCTAAACATAGCTAAGATTCCAAATTCAAATCTCTGGCAGCACCGTAAGGGGAACAGCAGAGTTTCATGTCATTTAGCGTTGCCAGCTGCGAGCGATGCTGGCTGTTACGCGTTGCCAGCTGCCTCAACGTTTGCCGGTTGGTTAATTTCGCCAAGTTGGCAGCGCTCATCGCAACAAAATTGCGCGTGCTAAAATATTTGTTGTTGAATTGTTACATTTGCCTGTGAATAGAGTTAATCAAAAATTAAATACAAAAACTGATCGAAAATGCCCGCCGTCGAAAAGTATGTTATGTAAGTGTCTTGACTAGCAAAGCAAAGTAGACGAGTTTTATTAAATTATGATACATTTCAGATACGATTGGAAGCGCCTCTGGCAAATGGTGTCCGGCATCCACTATGAAACACCCAAAGGCACAGTGCGCGAAGAGCTATTGAATGTCTGCTCGGAGCTGCAGGCAGGCGTCCTGCAGTTCAAGCCCAAGAGCGCCTCCAATGTGGAGCTCTGCACGCTGCTCAAAGAAAAGAAACAGGAGAAACTGTTGCCCTTCACAGAACGTCTGCAGGAGCTGCTCAACCTGGAGTCCGCGCAATGCTGGGAGATACTATGCTACTATCTGACCAAAGAGTATCGCGGCTCTGCCAGTCTGCTCACACAACTCATCTCCACAGAGACGAACATGACCAAGCTGTTGGATGACATTCGTCACTATTATTCCCTGGAGCGCATGATTGTGCTGAAGATTGTGAAGAATCTGCTTGTCTTTTACCACGTACCCAATCATCCGTACCATGCAGAGTATAGGGAAGTTGTGGACAAGATCACACTGGAACGCTTGCTCGAGTCCTACCTCAACCAGCTGGATAGCTTGATCAATGAGCTGCCGCCACGCAAGCTGCTGGCAGGCGAGAGTTTCCACTGCACGGATCGCCTGACCAACTGGTCGGAGCGCAACGCACGCGAGACCAACGAAGTGCTGCACATTCTGCTGCTGATCAGCGAACACAGAAGTTTTAGTTTTAGCCAAATCACGCGACTCTTTTCCACCATCAAGCAGCATTCCTTTGGTCGCCTACAGAGCTATCTCAACGAGTCAAATCCCTATCACAAAGAACTGATCAAAACTTTAACCTACTCGGAGCTGATGCTGCTGCTCAAGTGCCTGGACAGTGACAACGGAGAGCTAATCCAACAACTTATTGCGGAGCTCCATGTGGAGATATCCAGCATGCATCATCGGCCAGAGCACGGCCCACTGCTGCTCGTCTGGATGCTGTTGCGCCTGCGCGGCACAAACGATGCCGATGATGCTTCCAGTCTGCTGCGCTGCCGCCAGCTGGGCAAGCGAGCTGTCGAGCTCAAGTGCTTCGAGCTGCTGCACAGCATTGCTACACACACAATGTTCTCCGACGACAGCCTGCTCTCCCGCATCGTGAGGAAGACCATCTACAATCAACTGTGCTACATGTGCGACCTGTTCGATGGCGACGGCAGCTGCGCCCGCTATGATGGTATCTTTGCGCTGCTGTGTGAGCTGCTCTCCTTTCCCCAACTGGCCAAGGACTTCTGCAATCGTAAAGGTTTGTTAAGGCTGTGCCCTTAAATTGTTACTAAAAGCTTTCTTCTCTTTTCCCAGAGGATGGCGTGCGCTCCTTGTATAATACTCTGCTCGAGAACTTTCCTCTGCAGTTCATAGACTTGGCCAACGTGGCCTATGCCTTAACCAAGGCCGGCCAAGGCAACTATGTAAGCTGGCAGCTAATCCTCTCTATTTGCGTTAACTGTACATGAATACATTCTTCACACACAGATCAAAGCTCAGATGGAGTCGCTGCCCATGCTGGCGCTGCTGTATGACGAGCAGGCGCACAAGCTCAGGGAGTTGGAAACGAATGAGTATGAGCTCACCAGCCCTCTGCAGGCCTTTCCCGGCATCGATTTCACGCTGCCCATTGGCACCAGCTGCACCGCTGTGCAGCATGCGAACGGCTTCTACATGCACTTTCGCTGCCAGGTGAACTTCTTCAATGCACTGCATCACGAGATTAATTGCCTGCTGCGCGAGAAGGCGCAGCTGCACGGTGACTTCGAATCGAATGAGCGCGTTTTACGTGTCGAGGCAGGGCTGAGGTATCTAGAGCTTACGCTGCAGCGCATCAAATCCATAGCAGCCATCAGCCCTGAGATGGTGCATCCCACAGAGATGTGCATCGATTTGCTGAGCAAATTCAGGAGCGTGCAGTGCCCGCCTGCTCGCCTCTTATCCATTTGCCTAAATGTGTGCACTGCGCTGTTGCCGCTCGTGGATGAGGAGATCTTCATGCGTGTCAGCCATTTGGATATACTGCCCAAAACGGGCAGTCAATCGCTGCAGGACTACAAGCTCTGTGCGAGCGCAGTTTACTTCGAGTCGCGCTTCCTGGGCGCTATCATCGACAATGTGGAGAAGAAGCAGGAGCGCTACGATTTCCTCTTGGCCTATCTGCACTTTCTGCGCACCTATACGAAGCTCAAGCGGCAGCGCTATCTGCAAGTGGAAATACCCGGCTTGGTCTTTCTGCTGCGCGACGTGTTTCCCCACTTGCACACCTGGCACTTCAACTCGCAGCTGGACAAGAACAAGATCTACTTCGAAGTGCTCAGCTTCATATGCGATCTCTTTGATATCATGGGCAGCAGCAACGAGGTGAAGTGCGAGAAGCGACAGCTGCTGCTCAATGTGTGCGTTTACTCGCTGCTTAATCTGGACAATGGACTAATACTTCTGAAGTATATTTACCTATAGAGATCTATCTATTATGGACTTTCTGTTAACCCTTGTCTCTCTAGATTTGTGGGCGTTGGCAACGCCTTTGTCCAATACACCATGGAACTGGAGACGAACTGGATGCAGCAGCAGCCGCATGGACTCATGATGCTCGTGCGTCTCTCTATGCGCATATTGATGCAGGTGCTCTGCCTGAAGAGCCACGTCTACGGCACGGGCGCGCTGTCGCCACTGGAGGCGCTCATCTATACGCAGCCCAAGCAGCGGGACACGTTGCGCATCATACCCACTGTGTGCAGCTACATGAGCAACATATTTGATCGCTGGCTGCCCATCGTGTCCTGTCGACTGTTGAAGCGCATTGCGCTGGAGTTCAATATGTCGCTGTTGGCCTGCCTGGACATGGAGGCAGATCAGATCAGACTCACGTTCATGCAGAAGATGCCCGATCAGCTGGAGAGCGATTCGATTAAGATAGCCATACTGGAGCTAGTGGATGCCTGCATAGCCAAGCAGCCAGGTGTGACAGAGGCCTTCTTCAAGGTCAACTATGCGAATGATAAGCGCTCGTTCTTCGGCAAGGAGTGCACGCCCAGCATTGGGGACAGCATTGTCACCTACATGAAGGAGTTTCTCGATGGCCTCGAGGAGGTGCCGCTGATCATACAGCAGACGTTGCCCTGCAAGGTATTGAACATCTTTCATTCGCTGTGGAAGCACAATCTGAAGATGCTCGTGGATGAGCTGCTCAAGCAGCCTCACTTCTGGAGGAAGCTTTGCAGTCCGCTCTTGACCAAACCCACCAGCCAGCCCCAAATGAGAGTCTACACGCAGCTGATAAACATTATCTCCATCGAGATCTACAGCACCGGCAGCAAAAAAAAGACCGACCTACGCGAAGTGATGCAGAAGTTCTTCGAGCTCGACTGCTTCCAGCAGTGGCTCGACTATATCTTCAATTTGCCCAAGGTTCCGGCTAAGCAGAGCTGCAACGAGGAGCTGCCCGACTGGATATGCTGTTTGCAATCGTTTAAGGACTTAATTGTCATATTGCTGAAGAAGCAGCCCACGTTCATCACGATACCCGATGCCCAGTTCAAGCTGCTGGCCAAGAAGTGCCTGACAACGCTTGTGGACCGTGCCAACTACTTGGAGGACATGCGTCCCTTCATCATGCTGGCCGAGCTGTACATATTCATACTGCTGCAGTTCAAGCAGTCCTACACGAGCAGCAGCGAGGAGGAGAAGGAGCTCATGGAGCAGCTGGAGCAACTAATCCTACGCATCTGCGCCTGCTACGAGGACTTGCATGTGCGCGCCAAGGAAGCGTGCCTGGCCATCATAACCAAGTGTGCGCACCTATATGCAAATCTCCTGATCAAAGAATCTAGTATATCGATGCGCTTTCTCAACTCTGTGGTCACCATCATTTCAAGGGAGCTGCTCGATATGGAGAAACCACAGGCGCCACTGAAGCCGCCACTGAAAGCACCGCCGCAGGAAGCCAACGATGGCACCGTAACCACAAATTCGCTCCTCTTGTGCCTTAATCTCCTGAAGACAGTTGCGACCATCTTTACTATGGATGGACCCGGTAACTGGGATTTGCCGTTCTTGTCGGTGCGTCTCTTCCAGCGTCTGCTGCACAGCGTCTCGCACACGCTGCCCGTCCATAACAAGCGTACGCTTAGCATCCAGCTGCTGGACGTGCTGATCGTGTTCGCCAAGAGCAGCTGCTCCACAGAGTTTCTGCACTGCGACATGGGCGAGCATCTGTGGCTGAAGCTGCTGCCGCCACGCGAACTGCTTCATGCGAAACTCTCATTCAAAAAGCCCACAAAGGACAACGTCTGGACTATGGAGCAGTGGTGGCCCATCTACTCGCGTGGCATTGAGCTGGTCAACATCATCTACGACAAGCACAAGAAGTGTTTCCTGAAGGAAGTCATTCAATTCGTGGGCATACATGAGGTTTATCTGGTGGACTCCCTGCTGCTGGGCAAACAGTCCCTGGAGCCCGCGGCCATGAAGTTAATCAAGGCGGCCATCTCCCTAGTGGCCAGCTTAACGAAGGATCACAAGGAATGGGCGCAGGAGAACTGCTCATCCATGCTCAACATTATGGTAATGTTATACATACTACATAGTTGTATCTCACTCTTATAATTTGTATTTAATTCGTAGAATGCAGTCCAGGGTCTGATGTGCCACGCCATGTCCATGTTTCATCAGCAGCGCAACTTGAAGTGCTTGCTCGCCGGCAGACGCTCGCAGCTGGAGATGTTGCGCAACATGGAATCGATTACCATCGATGATAATATGATCAATGCTTGCAATGAGTAAGTTGTGCAATAATTTGAAGCATTGCCCAAGCAACTAATAGTTAACTCTTTTTCCGCAGTCTGACTGACATCATTATATTCTGTGTTAAGGCAATGCAAAAGTTTAGTCCCGATCTGTTGGACATCCTTTGCTGCAGCTACTATGAGCCGCACAAGTGGCAGCCGTTGCTGGACGTTAAATTTGGGGCGCCTAAGCTGAATGAGAGCAGCTTAACTCTCACCTTTGGCATGGTGCTCAACATGGTGACCATCTACGTAAAGGCATTAACTATGGTGAGTGAGAGGATACGAGATGGAGCATTTGCATTTTATTTAAGCAATATCTATATAAATGTTTCTCTTTTTACACAGCAAAATCACGGCTTCCACGAGGTGCCGCTTAATACGCTGCCCAGTGTGGAGATTGGCGAGGCGACAGGCCGCATGGCCTCGGGTGAGACGTCTCACGGCCAGCGCAGCTTCTCGCACTCTGTGTCCACTGCCGGCTGTCCGTCGAGCGAATTGCTCTCCAATTTGGACGGCCAGCTCTGTCTGGTGGCGCTGGAGCATTTGCTCATGCTGGTGGCCTCGCAGAGCATCTATGTGATACGCTCGCCGGAACTGGAGCCGCGCTGGAAGCAAATTGTACGACGCGACATCAGCAGCGACCTGCTCAGCTTTCATGAGTTTGTGCGTCGCAAGGTGATCGTGGACTATCGGGATGCACGCTGTCAGTGGGTGCGACGCAAGCACGGATTGCTGAAGTTTAGGCCACAGAATGTGGGCCGAAGTCCGGCTATTGCCTCCGGCAGTCAGCGCGGCAACGAGGTGGCACGCCGCAGCACCACCGCCAACGAGCTGCGCGTAAATGTGGTACGGCGTCTGCACTTGCAGCAGCATGCCCAACCACTGCAGCCACAGTCTGGCAGCTTGGAGATGACTCGCATGCTAAGCCCCATTGCAGCGCCTCATTCAGGTGGTCGCCATCAGATGGCAGCATCTACGCCGCAGGACTCAACAGATGTTAGCGAAGCCCAACATGAGAACAGAAAACGCTTGTATGCGGCAGAGTCAATGGCGCTTGAGGTGCAGTACTTGCCCCCGCCCACGGAGCCCATCTATTGCGAATTGTCCCAGGTGCAGCTTGTCGAAGAGGATTATCTCCAGCTGATGTCTGCGCTGTTTAGTGTTATACCACAAACCGAATAGGATTCTAGCGTAAGCTAAAATAGGAATATAATTTAGCTTAAGCTTGTATTTTCATGTGAAATCATTAGGAAGTTTGTATGTAGATTGTATACATGTTTAAATAAAGAATAAACAATTTGAAACTTCTTTATTGGGTGCTAACATTTTCTGCAGGGTGTAAATTTCATCATTGCATACTTCTGAGATGATCACATAAATGCAAATGAATTTATATCATAGCATACTTTTCGGCTGTGCGTTAATTCAACTCAATTTTGTAATGTTGCATACTTTTGGGGTGGCCCTAAACTTGCATATTTTAAATTATGCAGCATACTTTTAGTGCTAGAGTTTTAAGTCTAGCTCATCATAGTCAGAAGCAAATTTTTGTTGAAATTCGGCTGATTTACCAGGCGAACAGAAATGCCCAGCAGGAGGAATATTTTGTTTACATTTTGATTTTAGTTTATATTGAGCGCGCTGCTAATTAACAGCTAGTGAGAACAATTCTGTTATTTAACATAAAGTTAACAGAATTATGTTAATTAACATAAAGTTAAAAGAATTCTGTTAGTTAACATAAAGTTAAAAGAATTCTGTTAATTAACATAAAGTTAAAAGAATTCTGTTAATTAATATAAGTTGATTCTGTTAGTTAACATAAAGTTAACATGATTCTGTTAGTTAACATAACGTTAACAGAATACTGTTAATTAACATTCCGTTAACAGAATTCTGTTAGTTAACACTCGAGTGGCGGCAAGCCGATAGTAATTATCGAATTGTTGAGCGGTTGAATTTAAAATGATCAAAAATTCAAGCAGAGAAATACGTTATTATGCACAGATATCAAATGCCTACAATTAAACGAATTGTGAAAATCTTTGACTGCCAATCGGTGTGCCCTACCAAAGACTTCACGAATATGGTCAACTAATTGCTGCCTTTATTCTCGTTAAGAGCTGAATCTGTGCAAAAAATATGCGTATTGAATTCCTGCAAAAAGTGTAATTAAAATGACATAAAATCAGCAATTTGACTTTACAGCTTGTAATCTGTTCATGTTCTTTATCTGTCAATCACTCAGCTATTTAGTAGCTCAAACAGTATTTAGTCGGCAAGTGACGTCATTTGGCGTCCGACGAGCCCCCAACTACGTCAGCTGAGAACGTGTCGCCCACGCGGTTTCAGCACACTCTGTATTACCCGCTTTCTCTCTCGCTCTCTCTGTCTCTCTCGGGCTCTTTCTGTTGCCGGGTCACATTGGTTACTCACAAGCTAAACAATGCCACGCAAAATGAAAGAAGTCTCAACGCCGGCGACGTCGTCGTCGTCGTCGTTAACGCAGTTTTCGCTGCTGCCAGCTGAGCTGATTATGTGTTTAGCACTGCGGCCAGCCGTCATTTCAGTACCTTGTGGGCCGTCACAGAGAACGCATGTGCAGAGGCAGCAGATTGAATTGAGCTAGATAAAGATACACGCACCTCAAACAACAGTTTACAGTTAAGCGTTTTGTCCCCCCCAACAAGAAAAGTCGTCAGCAGCTGTTTGTCTTATTGTGATAATGTTTAAAGGTGTGCCAACGCTTGCGAATTTGAATTTGCGTTTGCTCAGCAGCCACACGGCCAAGGGTCGTGCGTGTCCTGGCCGAGTGGTGCAGTGCCGCAGCAAGGCAACGGCCACATCCCTCGACCTCAACGAGGCCAATGGCAATGGCCAGATCGATGTCGATGTCTACAGCGAGCAGGACCTACTGAAACGAGACAAATTCCGGCATCGGGGACTCGATGTGCAGCAGAAAATCGCATCTGAGGTGAGTGGGCAAGGCTCCTGTAGCCGAAGCGGAAACAGCTGATATCATCCAGTCGACTTTCCTTCATTGTTTATTTTTGGGGGTTGACGCCACAACAGGCGTTTCGTGATTGCGTTTCACATCGCATAACTATCGATTTTTACACCACATGCCCAGCCTAATCCAGATACTATAAAATGGCGAAATTCGCCGAATGAAATCGAGACTGTTTTCATAAGTCTGAACTTACATAGAAGTATTTCGTTGCCAGACAGTAATCTATCCAAGTATATACACAAGTGTATAGTCAGTCGGCGCTCTTATCTATTTACCTAAGAGTTACGTGCCCGAAATATAATAGAAGTTCAGGTTTATATCATGTGTTCATTTACTTATCTTATCAGGTGGGTACATCTGCTGGGTGTAGCGATGACTACCGGAAAATCACATTGGGAAATTAATCATGACGTCGCTTCGACAGTATTTTATGATCTCGAAACATCTTAATACAATTATAATTCCTATAGCTATATTGGATGTTGATTACATATGGCCCGATATTGACATGATACGTATTAACAAAACATTTACTCTGGTAAAAATTTATGATTCATGATATGTGTTAATACGACACTCGAACCTCCCCACATGCCAAAGTCACGAGAAAAATGTCACAAAAAAGAAATCCCAATAAGCGCTAATATATGTATATATATTAACACATACATATATATGGCTCTAGTAACATACAAATATACACAATTATATATACAAATCTGATATATGTATAAACATGCGAATTCTAGAAAAAAAAAAAAAAAAAACAATGCGAGAATTTTGTTTATGCGCTATCGTAGGCATAGAAAGAGAAAGAAATAAAAAGGAGTAAGGTTGGACTGGGCTAGCGGAAACAAAGAGAAAGAGATAGAGCGTTATTCATAGTCAAGTGGTTTCGTACATTTTAGTGAATGAATGGATAATTAAATGGGTTATACATACATACATATATATTTCGACCATTGACAAAAATATTGCAAGATTACGAAGATGGAACTTAGGTACATTTTTAGCAACTTTATATTAAAAATAGAATTCAACCTTTGAAATATAATGAATTAAATAATAATCTAATCTAATGAGATATTGAATGATATCAGTCTTAAAGTTCAAACAGAAGTCGTATACGTAATATTTCTTATACAAGTATGCGTCATAGATACTAAAGAAATAAATATTAAATGTCTTAGCGAGCGGTTATTGATTATAAATCAGCATTAATCATGAACTGCAAAAATTTCCACATGGCCTACACAATAAATATGATTTTTAAGACATTTATGATCTATGTGATTAATTAGATACTTGCATTGCATTTAATACATATGTGATCTAAGTCGTATAGATATATTTTTTATTGTTGTATATATATGATATATGATAATCTATATGAAATATTCATTCCTACATTTAATGTCGGCATTTCCGCTCTTACAAATCCAACTTCAAGTGCCGCTCTTACTACTTATTACTATATAAGACTTAAATTATGTAGCATGATCTATAAGTTCTGTATACTATCTGTGATCAATATTTTTGTGTAATTGTGTATAAACCTTCTAAATAAGCTAATGATCTTAAGATCTTTACAAAAAATGCAAGTTCCAACGATATGATCCCAATTATGTAGCATACATATTTAATCCCTTATCTCTGTCTCCATATGCATATATTGTATTAGAAAATATGTGAGCATATGCTAAGTATTTTTCCCCCGGGGCTCCATCGCTAGCTGTTACTACCTGACGCAGAAACTTTAATGCCGAATACAGTTCCGTTGCCATGGGAGAAATAATGAATATATTTTAAAGCACATTGCTACCCACATGTATGTATGTACATATATATACCTACATACATAAATATGTCTGGCCCCCGAGCTGATATGTGCTACGAGTGTTAATAGATTCTTTTTTTTTGGCACGCCGAAAAACAAGCCCCTCACAGCTAGCAAATCACATGGAACTAGAGCTGAGAGAGGGAGAGATAGAGCGAGTGAGATTGAGAGATTGACCGATCGAGAGAGCGAGTGCAGGTGATCTTATAAATATTTGTTTGCAAAAATTAAGCAAAACAAATCGAAATACCTGTATGTATGTATATGTGTGTGTCTCTCTATATCGTCATGATTGAAGTACATACATTATTTTGCTGTTGCCTTTGTTTATTTATAAAATCCAACTGCGTGCGTCAATATCTGGCGGATACTGTTCCATTCAAATGAAAGCTGTCAATAATAAAATTTAATTTATTTATAAAAAATATTATAATGAAAAGAATAATTTGGCAGCAACAGCTGGGCTTTCCTCATGGTTATTGTTAATACAGTTAGTTATTATCATTATGCATAATCAGTTCCCCAGTTCAGCTCTTATCTCCCGCCGCTTCACATGACTCTGTTTGCCAAGCCTCCCAATTAAAAAAAAAAAAAGAAAAAATTATTTCGGACCTAAGAACAACAATTTCGTCGTTTTGAGTCGTTTTTTTTTTTTTTTTTTTTTTTTTTGAGTCGTCTGCGTAAAAAGCTCCAAAAGAAAATAGAAGAAATAATCTATTCACTTTTAGTTTTTTTTACTATTATCAATTATTTGCTCATTCAATTAGCAAATTGGGCTGAATTTGTTGTCAGGCAGCTGTTGGGTGTTGGACTTGCATTAGAGCTTGAACTTGGACTCATCCGCTGTCAGCTGATGTCACGCTCCAGTAATCCCGCCAGGCCAGGTGTTCAATTACAATTTGCTCAGTAAATTGGATAAGACAATCTATTTTGAACTGCCTTGGGAATGGGTTTTAATCACTCCTGATAGCACGTCAAGTCGCTTACAAAAACACTTTTTAATTAAATGCTGAAACATTTGAAAACAAAGACAAGAAAAACATATCAGACGAAATAATAGTGAATATTATATAGAATCTGGCTTTAAGCCTAAAAAGCTTGACCCTTGGGTGGCGATGCCATTTATCTGTCTGGCCATATTGGGTTAAAACGAATTCTCTTGGCCAAAATTCAAATTAAGCGTTAATTTATCATATAAAAATACTTTGACAGTTGCCATGCTTGGCTATTTATTAAAATTTAATTGGTAAAATACGGAAACAAAATGGGATCAAGGCGAAATACTATTTCTTTGGGTAAAAATTGAATTGTTAGATATATTAAAAAAAAAAAATCAAAATTTAAATAATAAGTTTTTAATATATATATTTGTATCACTAAAAAATTTAAATTTAAATAAAATATATATTTTAAAAAAATTATATATACTGTAAATAAATAAATTATGTATGTTTTGCAG